CCTCCCCATCTCCTCTCTCCTCTAAAGTATTCTATTGCTAGGGTTTGGGTAAAAACCATTAGAGGCATGAGATTTCTGGTGCTTTCTTTCTAAAGCTTGATCAAGAAGGAATTGCTAATTATTTACAACAATAATGAAAAGGTATATAAACTCTTTAACCCTTTATAAATTTCGAAAATAGTAGAGTACTCCTAGGGTTCTTGATGTTCAGTTGTTTGTTGCAAATAAATAGTGAAAACAAAGATCCTTTAGGTTGCATTTGAACTTAGGGTTAGGTTTTTCCGCCACATATTTTTTTGTAACCTAAAAAACTTATCACAAGGTGCGGATCCAATCAAGATAATTAGGTCCCGTAAGTTTCTCCCTTGACATTACGAAGAACATTGAGAAGTTTGAGTGAGGTGGTGGTGGTGGAGGAGGAGGAAGTTTTCTATTAGCATTTGAAACACACATCTTCAAAAGAAAGTTTTAGTTAGTTTGATTAATCCTTAGAAATACTTACCAAAAACAAAACTATTAACAAGTCTAGGATATATATATATATATATATATATATATATATATATATATATATATATCACTTTATAATGTGAAGATGGATGTCATAGTCACAACATAAAGCTATTTAGGTATGCAACACTATTTGCCAATTTCAATCACTGTGAAATTTCTAGATCTTTGAGATTCATTGACTAGGGTCAGTGACATGTTAATCTCGATTGTGTTCATTTTGGTCCATGACAGGGATGTCGTGGATCATGGATTAGATGGTGGATCAACCATACAAAAACACGTGATCCCTAACTCAAGATACGCTTGAGTGTCACGAGTACCACATCATTTTCAACTATACCCTCAAACTGGTGTGTCGTCAAACCGCACACGCTGCTTCAACAAGTTATAACGAAAATGTGTGTTTTTCATGGGTAACATAAGATCCATGTTTTTACTATTTTAAAACGGGATTTTGTTTTAATGCTTCATATTAATACTTTTAACTTGGAACATCGTCCTTTCAAACCATTTCGATAACTCAACTCAAAATGCAAAAAGGCAACGAGGGTGGTAAGCATTAAGCTTTTAAAAACCGACCTCATTTTGGAATCAAAGAGAGCTCCTTAAACCTTTTTTCGCATTAGAATGGTTGAGCCTAATCGTGGTAAGACTGACAATGTATTTAAACATGCGAGGACAAACAAAATTGCGCACCTTCAACCCTAATATAAAAACAAAATTTTATAAAAATGAAATTGGATCTAATAGGGCAAATATATATGAATTAAGGCTTTGATACCAATGTTAAGGTTTCGAACATACTAACACAGAACATATGGCAGCGGAAGCATATTATAATTTTCTAGTAAAATTTTCAAACTAAATCTAGAAGGATCTTATGTTTATACTATTATTGCAACTACAAGAATGTAAAGATTACATGCCTCTTTGTTGTTGAATGGCCTCCTTGCTTGCAATATTATTCTTTCCACTTTGATTGGATGCCAAGGATCCAAAGGAGAATCCCTCTAGTAGAATCGCACCTAAAAACACCAACTAAGCAACAAAACAACCCTTTTGGAGAAGGGATGAAAATTGCAAACCCACAAACCCTAAAAGGGTTTGTTGTCGTCGACGTTAGGGAGAAGCAATGGGAAGGCCAAAATTTTCAGGCAAGGGAATGAGAAATCGCTATCTGGACTGTTCCAATTAATTAAACCTTTTAATTAATTCAAATCCAAGCCCTGTAATTAACAAACGGAAAACTGCAAAAAAATCATTACATATTGGTCTCGTATTCGATTTAGTCATTATATCTTTTTTTATTCAATTAAGTCCCAAAAACCGGTAATCGTATTCAATTTAACCTTTTTACCCGGTCAACAGGTCATCCAACTTTCAAAAATTACACTGTTGGCACAGATTTCAAGTTTTATTACAAATTTAGTCCAGAATTTATACTTTTGGCCCATATTTTAAACTTTATCATAAATTTGGTCCAAAATTTACCTTTTTTGCCAAGATTTCAGACTTTTGTTATGAATTCATCATAACTTTAATTTTTTACAACATTTTTTCTCAAAAAAAAATTTCGAATATGTTTTTTCTTTAAAAAAATCATATTTATACAAAAAAAGAACATATTTTCACATAAAAAATCTTATATTTTCTTTATAAAAAGTTTTTTTTAAAAACGTTTTTGTATACGAAATACCTATTTATAAAAATAGGTATTTATTAAGTACATAAATACATACAAATTCGTTTTTATAAAAAAAAAGTATATAAACACATATTTTACAAAAAAAAATCTATACAAACACCTATTTTATTATAAATACATTTGTATACAAACACATATTTATAAAAAATATATACAAACACCTATTTCATAGTAAATGTGTGTGTGTGTGTGTCTATATATATATATATATATATATATATATATATATATATATATATATATATATATATATACTAGCCTTTACTCACGTCAAGCGATGAGTGCGAATTATTTCTTTCGGTATTATTTCTGTTTGATAACAAGTATAATTGGACACCCAACTTTGACACGAAAGTAATGAAAAGGTAAACCCCTAACAGTGAAATCTAATTGCTTTGGAAGATGGTAACTTATAACTTGGAAATTAATTCTTATATAACTATTATTTAGAGTATACATTTAGAAAGATAATTTGTCGATAATTTACTTTTCAAATGATGTTTTTTTTATCAAAAACATATTTGTATATATTTTTTTTCTTTAAAAACATGTTTGTCTACATTTGTTTATAAAATGTGTTTGAATATATTTTTATAAAATACGTGTTTGTATAAATTTTATATATAAATGTGTTTGAATACAAATTTGTTTATTATAAAATATGTGTTTATATATATATATATATATATATATATATATATATATATATATATATATATATATATATATATATATATTTTACAAAAGAAATGTATACAAACACTTATTTGGGTGCGTATAAGTATGTTTTTACAAAATATATTTATAATAAAATAGATGTTTGTAAGCATTTTTTTTCTAAAATACGTGTTTGTATATATTTTTTTTATAATAATGGATTTGTATATATTTATGTACTTAATAAATACCTATTTTTATAAATAGGTATTTCGTATGGAAAAAAGTTTTTATACAGAAAACATATTCGAATTTTTTTTTGAGAAAAAAATGTGTAAAAAAAAACTAAAGTTAGGATGAATTTATAACAAAATTTTGAAATCTAGACCAAAAGGGTAAATTTTGGAACAAATTTGTAATAAAATTTAAAATCTGGGCAAAAAGTGTAAATTTTAGACCAAATTTGTAATAAAATTTGAAATCTGAGCCAAAAATGTAATTTTTGAAAGTTGGATGACCTATTGACCGGGTAAAATGGTTAAATTAAATATGATTACTAGTTTTTGGGACTTAATTGAATAAAAAAAAGATATAAGGACTAAATCGATTATGATGCCAATATATAAGGATTTTTTTGCAATTTTCCCATTAACTAATTCCTAATTAATTCAAAAATTGCTTCTAATTAATTTACCATAACATGTCAAATTAATAGACTAATTTATCCCAAATTTCTTTTGTCATTTAGTTGTTCAATTGGGTCTTAAAGGTAAACCAAAATGACTTTGTTATTATTAAAAATATTATCAATAGTTTTGATTTTGGACACTATTTCCAACAAATCTCTCATTTATACATAATACTTGGAGAGAAAGGCTTTATGAAGGATAAAAGTTTCACCATACAACCTAATCTCTTGGAATCAAGATTAGCGGTTTATATATTTCAAATACAATGTTATCACTTTTAAATATATATATATATATAGTTAAATTTTTTTCCATTTAGACAATGTTCTTGTAGACTTGGAATCTTTCTATTAAATTGAGTTAACAAATGGGTGTGTTTTTTAAATTGGTTACCATTTTGTATTAATTTACATGTTATAGTAATTATTGTAACATTCGATTACACATTCTTGTAATAGTACGTTAAAAAGATGCATCATCAATTGTGTAAAGACTTTCCTATAGTAACAAAGTACAAGATCCAAATCATGGATTAGAAAAAGAATAAAAAATGTCAATATTGTTTTAAGAATCAAATATCTAAACTTTTTAGTTTTTCCCTTACAAAAAGAAACTTTGGTTTTCGATTCCTTTTATTTGAAAATAACATTTAGTACATGCTCATGGGGTACTATTACTATGGGTGTTCAAATATATCCGCATCCGAAATTATCCGAAATTTAGATATCCGGTTATTCGGATTCGGATACGGATAACTATTTTATGAAATTTCGGATATTTCGGATATCCGAATATCAAATATTTTAAAAAATATTTCTATTATTTATTTACATTATGCATTCTCATTTTGTTTTCTTCTAATACGAAACTCAAAATTAGAGATTTAGAGTCTCAAATTAGTGAAAATTTAAAAATATTTCTATTAATTATTTGTAATGTTTTTGAAGCATAGATATTTGTTTGTCTTTCACTTATACATTTGCCAATTCGATGCCTGTTAATATCAAGATTAAATTACATATTTATTTATTTTCTTGACATTACATTACTGACTTATAGTTTTTTCAAGTACTTTATCTTAAAAAAGCTAGTGCTAATTTTCTTTCTTTTGGATAAAGAATGACATTTGCGTAACTAATGTATTTTTCTCAACTGCTAAACATGATTAACAACCTTTCTGTTATTTGTTTTTTTTTGGCTAACAACCGTCTTGATCTATGTTTAGTTATTGCCTATAATAAAAGAAATTGATTTTTGGATATCCGATTTAGGTATCCGAATCTGTATCCAAATTTCGGATATCTGAAAATTCGGATACGGATTCGGATACCTAAATCCATTGTCCGAAATTTTTGGATATCCGGTTTTGAACATCCCTAACTATAACAGTATTTGCTATTTCATATATATGTCATGCTATTCACCATACATATATAAAATCTATGATACACACTTCTTATAATATTTACACTTCCACCCCTCCTCTCAAATAACAAAAACTATATATGTTTTACATATCCATAAACCATTTGATTTTTAAGAGGACACGTGGAAAATAGGGGTCTTATTTTTACATAGGAAACCTTTACTGGTTTATATGTTGAAGCATCCATGGAGGCAATACTACTGAAGGTTGACCTTTTCTTGGAATTGCTTCTACCGGTTCATCAATTCCTCCCTCACATGTCCTATATATATATATATATATATATATATATATATATATATATATATATATATATATATATATATATATATATATATATATATACTGATATAGATAATATGAGAAGGGATCAAGAGGCTAACCTAATGAAGGTGCTAAAATGAAGTGAAGGCATGTTGTCGTTGTTTTGTTGCTCTACAAGAGGTTGTTGTGATTGTCCTTTTTCTACTTGTATGATCTGCATAGTGTTTACTTTTCATTATTTTATATGGTATGCTAGACATTTTAAGAACAATTAAACACCTTGTATTTTAGTTAAAATTTGCAAAAAAAAAAAAAAAAAAAAAAAAAATTACCTTCTTTGACAACGTGTTGTTTTGATTCTGCAATGCCTTTTCCTGTGTATTTATAATCAAATTGTATGAATTGCTTCACTACAAGTAATAAAAAGTAAGGAATTTTTATGCTTCAGGGTGACACTTCTTTTTTATTTTCATTATGTAATTAAAAGATATCCGTACTTACGTACCTTCTTCTGTAGCATAGAAATTGTCTCAACCATGAGCTGGTTCTGTGAAATAATAGAATTTTGGTTTAAAACATTAAACAAAAACATATGTTATTATTATGATTCTTAAAGCAGAATATGTATACCTTCCTCAACCTAATATGTTTAATAGATGTATCAATTTGGTGCTCTAAGTTTTGAAGCTCTTTGAGACTCAATGAATCAAGGTCTTCTCCCATAATATGACTATGACAAGCAGATTAACATACATTATTTACCATCATAGCTATAACGACAAAATGGTTTAATATATTTTACCTCTGGGTTTTCTCCAAAAGTTCAATTCTAGATTTGAGCTTCGCATGTTCCAATGTCCACTTACCCTATTATTTATGAGTGTTTTTTAAGGTTAATTTTGTAAGTATCATGAAATTTATATAAAATTAATAGGTATTAAACATACAATTGATTCTTGATCGGTTGTAGTATTGTTCCTTTCTTCATATGAGTGTCTTTCGTACCTCTCAAGGATGCTTTCCATCCTGTTGCTAGTAGTAGTGTAAAAAATTAATATACCAGAAACTAGAAACTAGATATGTGACCGTAAATGATATCGAAACACAAATAATCTATATATTATTATAAAGTTATAGTAAAAAGGAAGATAAAATGGTGATTTTGTAATCATACTTAGCAAATAACATCTAATCTGCAACCCTCCACCGATTTATCTCCATCACTATCTGATCTCCATGGATTCTTTCTTAAAAATCCTAATTTTATTTATGATTTTATTGAAAACATTTAGGTTTTGAATACATTAATATTAAAGGAATGAGTTTTTGTAGATGCTAGTTTGTCAAATGTCCATCCTTGACCACTTACTAATTTGTGATTTTTGGTGTAATATTTTGGATTCTTAGTTTGTGGTTTGGGATTATGGACTTGTTATTGATTATAGGTTCATCTCATCTCTTACATTTAGTTGATTAGGCCTACTAATTATGTTTCATTATATGTGTCATTATAGTAAGGTGATTAGAATCCATAAGTGAGATCTCAAGTTCAAGCTTGGATATTACATTTCCTACACGGGACATTATGATTTTCTTATATATCGTTAGTCATGACACCAGGTTGTGTGGTAACATGTGGTTTTTACCCTATTTACTAATCATGTTTCATTGTTTAGTTCTATATTATGTTTGCCCTAAAATAAATTAACTTGCACATACTTTGGAGAAGTTTCTGCTTAGCTTCTTTTAGAGTTTAAGTTCATGTAACCTAATGAAATGAGTCTTGAAAATGAAGATTTATGAAAAAAAATTGTGTAAGTAGTAAATGAATGTGGAAGATTAAGCTATATGTTTCGTACATATTTGATTCGGTATGTAGAATGGATTGATGAGGAGATCAATTAAAAAAAACGAAATTTATTGTCCATTTCAACGTATTTCAAACAAGCTAGTATCGGATCCTAGTTCGATCAACTAGACAGTCCTATTTAGAAAATTATACTAAATAGAGTATCAAAAAGCAACTTTTCTTGGATCTACTGAAGAATGAGAGACAACTGAAAAGGCATATATCGAAGTTGAAAAATGAGAACTACTTCAAAAGTAACGTTTAAGAATATCATGGAAGAAAAATTAGCACATGCATTTTATATACACCAAGGAGTATAATCATATGAAGACACTTGGGGAAAAACATTACGCGACATGTCAGAAAACATGTATGCCAATTATTGAAATTCATACTAAGGAGGTGAAAAGGGCAAAAGGGTTCGGTTGCAAATTAATTTACCGGAATACAAGAAATAGTTTTTATTTGATTCGGTTATTTTGTTTTCGCATAATTGGTTTTGTACCCAAAATCATAAGGTTAGGAGAAATTGGAATGATTGAATGCTTAATCCCCTCGTGAAGTAGTTGTTTTGTTGGATTGCTAGCAATTTGCTAGCGTTTTGTTTATATATATATATATATATATATATATATATATATATATATATATAGGTAAGTTCAATTGAGAAAATAAAAAGGTTGAGAATAGGGGAATCATTCTCAGCCACACATTTATTTTTGCCGCAAAAGTCTCCGTTGTACCAGTGGAAATGGGAAAGGAATAGACATGTGTTTTGCAACAAAACATGTTTCCTTAAACTATGCTAATCATTACCTTAATATATATACAAAAACATAATTTTTTTCGTTTTTTTAATTTTTAAAAAGATATTTTTATCGAAAAATAATTTTAAATATACCAAAATTCATGATTTTTTATTCTCTACAAATAGACATCCACATTGATATAGTTTTAAGATAAAATAAAAAATTTATTTTTTTTATATTTTCAGCTATCGTTATTTATAAGTGAATAAAAATGCATCAATTTTTTTACTACAGTACATTCGTTATTTACTTATGAATAAAAAGTATGATTAATTTTTTTTACAATTTAAGTATCATTCATATATGAATATAGCATATAATAAACATAGTATATTCATATTTAAATATTAGACGATGCATTCACTTGTGAATATTACATAGTATATTCACTTGTGAATATTAGATGGTATATTCACTTATGAATATTAGATAATATTTTCATATCTTAATATTACATAGTATTACATGGTATATCACATGTGAATATTACATAGTATATTCACTTGTGAATATTAGATGATATATTCACTTATGAATATTACACAGTATATTCATATATGAATATTACAAGGTGTTTTCACAAATATATATAATTTTTATATGTTATTCACATATGAATATATACAGACTTGCATATTTGTTTTTTTGTTTTAATAATCATATATTGATTCAGGTGAGAAAACATATTCATATATGAATATAACGTGGTAATTTAGTTTATGCATTTCATCAAACAGTTGGAGTGCATACAAGTTAACTTTTTTAAAAATGTTAAAAACATGATAGTTTGACTATTTAAATCTTACAAAATAGTAGATTGATAGAGAATTATATGAAATTTTTCAAAAAAAACGATTTGATCTTTTTCTAACCTCAATTTTGAAGTTTTATTTGATAATCGATGTTGAATGAATGATATGAAGTGGATTTTTTGTTGATTATCGATGATGTTGATCTAATGACGCTGGGAGTATAATTAATTGTAGATGTTGAAGATCTGATCGTATTCAAGCAGAATTGAAGGTTAGATTAAAAGAACCAAAAACGATTTTTTGTTGTTAACTGTTGAACCGTGTTGATAAACATGTTATTGACGAAGATCGATGATTGATTAACACTGGATGATGTTGATGATGGTTTAATTGAAGAAATCTGGATGATTGTTGAAGCTTGGAGGAGAAGTTTGGATGATGAACGATCGATTTGAAATGGGTTTGAACTGTTATTTATTTCTATACAATTACGTATTTAAGATTGAAAATTATTATCATATTTACAAGTTTGTCACCGTGTCTTTTTATGCTTAGATTAAATGATTGGCTGAGAATGATTCTCTCATTCTCAATTTTTTTTTTCTCAATTGAACCCTCCTCTCTCTCTCTCTCTATATATATATATATATATATATATATATATATATATATATATATATATATATATATATATATATATATATATATATATATATATATATAGAAAAAGAAAAAATTAAGGAGTTTGAAAGCTTGCATAAAACATAGACACAATTCATTTCGGATTATTGTTCACAAGTATTGTAAATAGTGACGCCATCAAGCATATGCCACTTTAGAAAACAAATTCCAAGTTTTTCTGAGGATAGTTAGAGGTTAAAATCAAAGATGAAAAACCCCATAAGGTAAGTGTTGTTCGTGAATGCAATTTAAAACAAAACAATTAAGCGTTTAAGAAATATGTCTAAAGTTTATTTTGCTCATATGTGGTCCAAAAAATATTTGCTTAACATTGACCGTCTTAGTGATATTTATAAAAAGCTTGTTAGTTTTGAAAGGAACAAATATATTTATTTTCCTTCCAAATCCTATTGGCAAGAAAAAAAATATCATTCCAACTCTTTGGTGCATGTCAATTTTTTATCTTTGAAAAAGCTAGGTAACTTTTGTTTTATCTATGTCATTGGAGATTACTCACCAAATGTTCGGGTGTATCGTATCATAGAAACTTCGAAGTATTCTACAAAATTCTAGAACTTCAAGGTAGAAGTGGAGAATTTTAATATGCCAAAAAGCAACACTCTGTGGAGCGATCGTAGTCCGTAGAGGTAGTAGATATTATTCAAAAGAATTTTGAGAAATATTACAAAACATTTGGCATGAAATGACAATCCGTTATACACCACATCAAAACTTTATATCTGAAAGAACAAATAGAAAAAAAAAAATATGAAGATGGAAAAATTTATTCTAAAGAAGATGTTGCAATATTTTACATGTCAAAGTTTGATATGATACAAAGCCTAGTTAATTCCATCGTCTAAAAGTATTTGAGAGTTTTGTGTGATCATATATTCCAAATGTAATGAAAGGCAAGTTGGATGATAACATAAATGTATTTTCATTGACTACTGATGAGACAAAGAGGTAATTATCATACCATGTTTTGGTGTTGAATAATCTGATTTAAATAACCCAAGCTCTGGGTGTTTAATTATTAGAATCGATGGTAATTCGTTCTTCGTTCTATTATCACTAAGGGGATGTAAAAGCTTGTTTGATTAGAACTATATGAACTTTAATGGTGACACTGTCCCCATGTTTAGTTAGTTCATTGGAACCAATACCTATTTTTGTACTTTTACATTAAGAGTTTAGTGTTAAACACAAAATTTTCCATTCCATTGACCCTATAAAGAAGTCTATGCTTTTTTTTTTCAGAAAATGTTCTAGAGTCTCTTATTAACATTAAGTTCTGCTGTTAGTACTATCTCTGATTATCTTTATCTTAGAGTGAAGTTGCATAAATTGTTTTTTTTAATACTTCCTATACAAGTAAAATTCATTTTCATGCACTTAATTAGTGCTATTGCTAATGAAAGAAATAATTATTTTATTAAAATATACATTAATTAGTTACGTTGAAATTAATAATAATTTACATATTAAACAAATTATCAGGTTTACATCAGAAAAGCAAGACCCGAGGTTTTTTCAACTCTGATTGCTTCGATTAAATAAATAAAAAGTTTTCAATAAAAAAAGGAATAGAGAGAAAAGAGAATGATGGTATGACTTGACCTAGTGTATGCGTTTTCGTTATTTCATTGGTTCCTTTTCTTTATTCATTGTCGTTCTTATTACATAAACCCTAAATTTCCATCTCAAATCTTGACGATTATGAAAAACATGAAAAGTGAAATAAATAACGCAAGTATTTTTGTGCTTATGGATCTAATCTAAAATCAAAAGGTTTAAATTTTTAATTAAATGTTGCAGGAGGAGAAGTATATAAAAAGTATTTTGCATGAATCTGCTAAGTTTCCATATTTATAAAAGGTTTTGTATGTGCGCAGAGTCCAGTCATAAAATACAAGCATCAAAATATTATGATATTGGTAAAATTGTGCTTGATCTATATGATCTGAACTAAAACCACCACAGATCTGAAGGTCCAGAGACGATTACGCGAAATTAGAATCATGCTGAAAGAAAATAGAGATTTAACTTCGCCAGACTGCAAATTTCGGATGATTTCTAAATTTTGAAGTTAAATCTCATGTCAACAATTACAAATATGCAAAGTTTTTGTAAATTTGTGCAATTAATTCATCAGATGCTGCGATAATCAAAACTGAAAGTGAACGAGCAAACTACATATGTTAGTAACAACAAAAATCTAAAACGTTATTAAAGGTGTAGAAATCAAATAAAATTTAGGGGGAAATACTAACGAGTTATCGGGGAAGAAGAAGAAGAAAGAGGAGAAGAGGAAGAAGATGTGTGTGTGTGTGTGTGTGAGAGAGAGAGAGAGAGAGAGAGAGAGAGACGTACGATGCATTGGCAGCAAACTCGCAGAGCTTTCCTTTAGTGGAGAAGATGATGAGGCCGACATCGGCATCACAGAGGACGGAGATTTCATGAGCTTTCTTCAACAATCCTGATCTCCGTTTCGAGAAAGTGACCTGGCGGTTGATCTTATTCTCGATCCTCTTCAACGTCACTCTTCCCCTCCCCATGTTAGATTCAGATTTTTGATTTCTCTACACACACAAACTGTAATCGGGAAGCAGATGTAGAAGATGGTGTGGTTTGTTGTATATCTCGGGCAGGAAAAGCAACAATTCTCTCTCAGGTGGAGATATTTTTGAAGATCCTTTCTGTCCTATACTTTTGTGTCTCTGAATTGCAAGCTTATTATTGGCAATTCTCATAAATTTCCATATAAATCGAATAAAAGGTATACGATTGTGTGTTTACATCTAAGCTAATAAAACTTTTGTGATGAATAACTAAATATATTCAAATTATTATTAATTAATAATAAAACAAAATGAACCTTTTTAGCCAAAAATAATTATATTAACTACTAATGAACAAAGAAATATTTTTTGACTAAAAATATACTAAACAAATTGCATTTGTTTCAAATAACAAAAAATGAAAGAATTTGTTTTGGAAAACGACATCACTTCTTTCTATTTTTGTACAGTCTAATCCTTTCCTCATCTATTTTTATATATTTTGATAATTATTATAAGATAACAATAAAAATAATAATGTTTGGAAATTATTATTATTTTTATCCATATCGAGTAGAGGTTTAAGGTAAAATAAAATTTTACCTTGCGTAGAATTGTTTTGTAAAGTTAATTTTAAATATGTAAAATAAAATAAAACAAGGTTAAATTTTAGAATTTCTTAAAAGTGTGTAGGTTAAGATCACGGTTCTAAAAAGCGCGCCACGGCGCGCCTTAAGGCGTGCCATGGCGCGAGACGTGGTGTAGTCGTTACAAAAATGTCAAAGACGGTTTGTTAAGCGTGACGTCCAAATAACGTGTTAAGGCGCGCATTATCGCATTATGACGCGAGTTATTTACAAGGTGCAAGTTTTTTTGTTTTTTTTGTTTGATTTTTTTTATCGGGCCTAAAATAAATGATTTTTTGTTAACTTTTTTCTATTAGATATTAATATACCAATTCTAAAAACTTCATATATTTGATAAAATTCAATAATTATATGATTTATATCTTTTAATGTATATAATAAAGTCACGCCTTGAAAAACGTCATGGCTCGTTAAGGCTTGTCATGGCTTCACTTTTACCTTGCCGTCAAGCCACGTCTTACGTTATTTAAAACATTGGTTAAGATAGATGTATTTCTTGTGTTGTGGGTTGCACTACTAGAAAACTTGGCAATTTCCAGACGGTTATTTTTAGCGGAAATTGAAATGATGAAAGTAAATGAAAAAGAAAAAGAAACTGATGTGATGACAACATGACACCGTAAGTTGAAATTGATGAAAAAGATGAACTCATTCCACTGATAATATCTAACATATTGTATCATTAAAGTCGTCAAAGTGGTGCAATGATATTAGATTTGTCTATATTGTACTAGTAAAAGTTACTAGCTTCTTTTTCAAATTATTTCTTGCGGTTCCAAAAACAATTATTATTTATATATTTAAAATGTGATCAACCATTTTTATTAATATATGTATATATACGGAGTTACATTTTTACTTTTTGATTTACTTTTTATAAATGGGGAGTATTTGTCATTTCTCAAAGTAAATAATATAATCTATTAAGACCACATGAAATGAATCTAATAAATCATGTATTACATACGCAACATATATTCAAAAATACATTTGATGTGTAAAAAGAAAGGGAAGGTGTAAGGTTAAAAACCTCAAATGTCCAAAAAAAATCATTGATGTCCTTTGATTTACCCTGAAGTAACGACCATGAAGGCTTGATATATGTCGACCAAAGTGAACTATCATTTAGTGTTATGAAATTAAAGGAAGTTTTGTATTAATTAGATAAATTATAAATAAGCAAAAAGGACTAAAGTTTAGTGGCATTCTCATTTGAAACAGGTGTGTGAGTTAGAATGTATGTAGTCATGCTTAAAGTGGTAACATGTAACATCCGTATCTCGAGGTATTATTTAGATTATGTAGCTTAATATTAGCTTTGAGCTAACACTTGGACAATGGACCTTTTTGGAGTGGACCTTAGCAAAATGGGCTAAAAAGTTGGGCTGCCCATAAGCCGTACGCTGGGCGTAACCTGGCGTACGCGGGGCGTAGTGGCACATTGGATTCGAGGGACTCGGGGGCGTACGCGCAGCGTACCAAGAGGTACGCCCAGCATACGCGGACAGATGCCAAACCCTAACTTTTAGGGTTTAAGACATATAAATACCCCGTTATAGCCTCCTCTCTAGCCTCCTCACCAGTCCCTCGCCCTCAGAAAACCCTAGTTCGCCTCATACTCCATTGTTGTGTGTGTTTGACCTTTTTGAGTTCATTTTTGTGAAGAAAGGCTTGGAAGAAGTGAAGAGAAGTTGGAGGAGAAGCACTTGAGTATCTTGAGCTCAAGGATCTGGAACAAGTTCATCTTTTGGCACCCAAAGGAGGTATAAAGCTCCTATATTTCCTCTTAGAAGCTTAGATCTAGGGTTTTGAAGCTTTGGACCTTTTTAGGTCCAAAGAATGGATCTTGTTCATGCAACTTCGTTTTTGAGCTTAGGGTTGCCACCTTTGAAGCTCAAAGTGTCCCTTAAGCAGTAAAGTTGCAAGCTTTGAGGCTTTTATGTAGCCATGCATGAGATCTAGCCATTTCCATGGAAGTTTATTGCTATTTTTAGAGTTGGGTTCATTTGGTGGGTTGCAAGCCATCAAGTGATCGACTTTATGGGTTAGGATGAAGTATTGGACTCAGATCTGTAGTTTGGAAGTAGTGTCTTAAAGGATTAAGCAGTTTTGGAGAAAATGGCTTAACAGGAGAGTACGTTGGGCGTACACGCCAATACGCGCAGCGTACAAGCCATTCAAGCAGTACGCGCAGCGTACAGAAGGGTACGCTCAGCGTACGCTCAGACAGTGGGCTTTATGTTATTGGGCCTCGGTTTGGGCCAGACCTTGGATATAGCAATAGTTGGGCCGAGATGGGCCTTCAGAAGTCATTCAAGGGCCCAAGGACTTGTTGGGCTTGTGAGGTAAAGTCCATTTGAGAAGTTGGGCCCAATTTAGAAAATTGTGCCATTAGTGGGCCTTAGTGGGCCATGAGTGGACTTATAAGGAATAGTCGGAATTGGGTCTTGGATATGGCCCAAAGTTAGGGCAGGGGTAAAATGTTAATTTTACCCTTAGTGGGATTCTCAGTTTTTGACTAAATGTTTATTTGGTCATAATAGCCGGAGTGTAGTTGGAGCAGCAGACAGAGTTACCTTGCACGAGTTTTCAGCAGCCAGATTGAAAGGTGAGTTTCTCTCCAGTAGGAACGGGTCTAAGGCCACAATACCGACTCGTTTAGATGTTAGTAGTTCCGGACTTCGGTCTGATGCCAGGGCGGTCCCGAGAAGAGTATATGTATGCTTGATGTCTTTGTGATTCATGCATGTTATGTGTTATGTGTTCCGGGGCAAGCCCGATGTATGTTAGCTTATCTGTTATATGTTATGTGTTCCGGGGTAAGCCCGATGTCGGGGCAAGCCCGATGCATGTTAATTTATATGTTATCAGTTATGTGTTTCGGGCTTCGGCCTGATGCCGGGGTAAGCCTGATGCAGTTTATATGTTATGTTATGTGTTTATGATATATGTTATGCTGTGTATGTGCCGGGGTAAGCCCGATGTCGGGGTGAGCCCGATGCCAGACGTAGTCTGATGCCGGGGTGAGCCCGATGCCGAGCAAGAGTCTGATGTCGGGTAAGCCGATGCCAGGTTCATCCCGATGCAGTTGGGAGTAGTCCCAGAGTTATGTTATTTGTTATATGTTATGCGTATGGTATGTGGTAGTTTGGGGGAGCTCACTAAGCTTCGTGCTTACAGTTTCAGGTACTTCAGCTAGTAAAGGGAAGGGGTCGGGTTGATAGCATGGCACACACCACAGTCTTTCTGGCCTGGGAGATTACTCTGATATTTTATCATATGTTTTTGGCACAATATTTGATATGATGTTTTGAGATACATGATACATAGTTTTCTCTATGATTATGGATGGTTTATGGTTTTATAATAATTTTCAAAACAAAATTTTTGGACTGTATTTTTGGGTTGTTTCATAACAAATGGGAGCGGTTCCATTCTGCCAAGGTACGGTTTTGAGAACATGAGGATTCGGCCACATGGTGATCTATCCAACCCTCACAATGTAGCCGTTGAACCGAAGATTTTGACTGTATAAGTGTCTTTTAAAATTTTATTTACAAAATAGGTATAGTTTTAAAAATATTTATTAAACAGGTATAGTTTCAAATTATATATTTTTGAACTTTTTAATTTACAAATTATATATCTGGGGTGAGCCCGATGTCGGGCAGGAGTCCGATGCTGGGTAAGCCCATGTCGGGTTCGTCCCGATGCAGTTGGGAGTAGTCCCAGAGTTATGTTATTTGTTATATGTTATGTGTATGGTATGTGGTAGTTTGGGGGAGCTCATTAAGCGTCTTGCTTACAGTTTCAGTTTTGGTTTCAGGTACTTCAGCTAGCAAAGGGAAGGGCTCGGGTTGATAGCATGGCACACACCACAGTCTTTCTGACCTGGGAGATTACTCTGATATTTTATCATATGTTTTTGGCACAGTATTTGATATGATGTTTTGAGATACATGATACATGGTTTTCTCTATGATTATGGATGGTTTATGGTTTTATAATAATTTTCAAAACGAAATTTTTCGACTGTATTTTTGGGTTGTTTCAAGTTGGTATCAGAGCCTTGGTTTGAGGGATTTGGGCAAACTCTCTTTGGTGTGTCTGAACTCAAACTAAGGAATTGGTATGAAAATTTTCAAAAGAAAATTGTTTTTATAAAAAGAACTCCGAGAAAAAGAAAAGAATTTTGAAAGGAGAAAAGGGTGTGGTGCATGCGATCATCCGAGCTCAAGTAAGTACTCCCAAATTACCCATACAAGTTATTGATATGTTATGATTATCAGCTTTATGAGAACAACATGCTAGTTTAGGACTAAGGATCTAGGAAGGATGCCTTATGTGCCTATCATATGTGTATCAGCTTTATGTGAATTGCATGCTAGTTAGGACTAAGGATATAGGAAGGATGCCTTATGTGCCTTTTATATGTATCTCAACTTTATGAACTGCATGCTAGTACATATTAGTTAGGGATAGCCTGAGAGAGATATGATTGTTTATGTTTACTTGATGC